TAATGTGAAAAAAAAAGAATTGCGAATTTTCGACAGATATGTCTTAATGTTTCGTCGATACATCCGAGCAGAACTTCAGTGATGTTGATGATGATGAATATAATGTTGATGAACATGAATATGATGTTGAAAATGATGATGGTGGTGTTAATGATGATAAAAAAGATGATGGTGATGTTAATGATAATGGCGATGTTAATGATGATGGTGATGTTAATGATAATAGTGGTGTTAATGATGACATAAATGATGATGGTGTTAATAATGATGAAAAAAGATGATGATGTTATTAATGATAAAAAAGATGATGGTGATGTTAATGATGATAAAAAAGATGATGGTGATATAATAATGATACGATGGATTGTCACATAAATATGTATGAAATGAACGTTAAACTTTATGATTTTTATGAGATATTGAATAAAGGAAATGAGTACATAGTGCATAGAGAAAATCATGCAAAGCTTATAGTGAAATGAAGAAATTCTTAGTTCTACTTTACATGTGTTAATGGTATAAATAGAGCACTTCGGAAAGCAAGACCAACAAGTAGTAATAGATAATAGAAAGTACGAACAACTTGATGAAGGGGTAGGAGTTTAGAGGAATTTGGAGGCGTGAAGATGTCATATTCGACTCGGATGTATTGGCATGCATATTGCAAGTTCTCAAATGCAATCTAACCTCACTTTCCACTTGTGTAGCAGCTAAGTTTTAGTCAATATTAACCGGTTTGTTTACGTTCAGTAAGTAGTTCAGTCTATCAATGAACTGGCTCGTCAACTTGTCATGCGTGAGTTTATTTTAATACCAATTTGACTATCTAAATTTCAAAGTTACCAATGAAAGTCTTAGCCTCCATTTGGAAAAATTGGAAAAACTGTTACTCCTTTTTGTCGCTAAGAGAGTTAGAGAGAAACGTGTAAAATGCATAGCATCATTGATTATTATTTTAAGAGTAAATTTATTACAGAGAAAAGAGTAACAGCTCCTTGTCGATTAGCTAAAAATCGTAATTTGGGAACATTTAACAATTCGAATGAAAAATGAGGATGATTTTATTTGTTGATGATCAAAAAATGGTGAGATGATTTCGGGCGGGAAGACTTTTATTTAAAAAACCATCGGTTGCTGCAGTATTATCATATTAAAAGTCGTACCCACGAGAACGACGCGCCCAAACATTTCCTACATTCACATTATCTACCTAGCCTAAAAAAATCCGTCTACACTGGCCTAGTAAACGCAGTAGACGCGCAGGGTGTTCGCTAAAATAATACATTCCTTTCAAGTATTATCTAATTTGCAATATCTACTTAAAATCACAATGTATTCCTTTATTATTAAATCAAAATACTGTACTATCATCGCTAGCGATATTACAGTGAGATCTCTTGCACTTGTGGAAAAACTGTTTCCAATATCAAACGATTTATGTAAGTAGGCAAAGAAAAGAAATATTTAAAGGAATATATTATATTCAGAGTGGCACCTAGTATAAAAATTACCATTTTTTTCTCCAAAAAAAAATGATACATTTTCGTCGTTACTGCGTACTTCATCGTTCTACGACCCGAAAAACTTTACTTCACACGCGATCAACCTTATTGAGCATTATTACATTACTTATATTTTATCATAACACATACTGAAAAAATGTCATTTAAAATTGCTACAACTAGTTTACACGCGTACTAAAATATGTTCATATGAGATTATTAAAATATAAAACGCGATTTTTTCTTCTCATATTTTTTTGCTTATTTTTTTTATAAACGTTTATTACAAATTGTGCCTTGTGAGCTAATATTCTAGACACTACAGTACTCACTAACATGCAAGGGGAGAAAGAACAACACCAAACGACTGAACACAGCTAGACCATGCGGGGGAACACAACAAAGCGGTGGTCTCGAAAATAAAATATAAATAAAATAAAAAACGAAATTATAAATCACGAAAATTTATTATAATATTTGGTAGCAATTTATAAAAAAAAGTCGAAAACCTTAAATATTATTTTGCTAGTGCTCTAAGGCTCAGTCAAAGCATTCAAGGCGGTTGAGTCTTGCTTTGCTTTATTTTACGAAATCTAAATATTAGAAAAATACCACCCCGATACTTTCACTGTCCATTAGATGACGACCAACAAAGCGTTTTTCTTAAGCGTAAGGTCAGTCGCTATAATAAAAAAATTCGTACTAATTTATAAATTTCTAAATAGAAAACACACTTATACATTTAATATTCAAAAATCAATAAAAAATTACAAATAAAAAGAAATCACTTCGAGGGAGGCTAGTTGCAGAGAATTAAAATATCAAATATAAATATATAACTAATGAAAAATCTAATTTATACTATGTCGAAACAGTCACTCAGCACGCAACAGTGGACATGTACTTGTACTAACATTCATATTTAAATATCTCCACAAAAATATGTAAAAAAATAAAATAATAATTGTAATAATATGGTATTAATAGCTATAAAACAACAACTTATTTACAAGGGTACGTACAAACAAACTAAGTCTCCGGGCTATCCCGAGCAGTACGGCCTGGCTCAGATTGGACAAGCAATAATAATAATAAAATATATAAATTTATCTAATAACGATAATTTCCAAATTCTACAATAAAAAAATAAATAAAAAACAAAATATAGTTTCTTAATATTTAATATATAATAATACATTTATTAATAAGTAATATATAAGCGCATGGAAGCCAATCTGGGCCAGTCGAACAGCTATCGAATTGTCTACGAAAAAGTGCAGGCAAGAAGAAAATGCACGAAAAAACGTCGCCCGGAATTCGCCGGTGCTACGAAAATGGTGACACGTGAATACTGAAGGATCAAAAAAGCGAGTGGTGCAGATCGGGGGCCGAGCTCATTATTTTTTTTTATTCTTTATTAATTTTTTCCTAATTTCCCAAACGCGCCCAATCTTACAATCGCAAACCACCAAATTTCATCTATAGTAGGTATTTGATTGTCGCAACTTTTTTTTGTCAACGCTCAAAAATATGTTCGAAATTCAAATTTATTGTGCGTTTTATGTTGCTTTTGTCAACTATCTCTAAGCAGCTCTCGGAAGATAACCAGAAAAGTTAGCAAAAATCGGCCAATAAATCAGTAAGATTATATTAAAAGTTGAAAAAAAAAAAGAAAACTCCACCAACAGGGGAAGTAAACGTTAGAGAAAACGCAAGAAAAAGTTAGAATAATTTAAAAGTTAGGAACAGAAACGAAAAAATACGTTCTCAAAAAAAAATGTTTAATAGAATAGTGATAGGAAATAAGCTATATTTTAAAAGAAAGCATTCTACTATCTATGTGGTATAAAAATTTAATACTGATAGAATAAAATTTACCATCGTTTGCAATAATTGGTAGTTGCGTATTGCAGATCAGGTACGTGTTTGTTCTTCGATTCGTACATTCTTTAAGCAGCGCAAAATTTACCTATCAATTTATTACCAATTCCGCAATATTTCCTAATACTTTCTTTACTATAATACTTAGTATTTTTTCACTGGGAGAAACGAACTAAACACACTAGTTAATGCTGATTTAGTTTCTAACCAATTGCCTACTACAATTACCTAATCCTTCCGAAGATACCTATTCCTCTAAAAAATAATTTTGCTGCGTTCGTACGTTGACCGTGCAGAATCTACGAAATGACGAATGCGAGAAAAAAATTGGAATATTCCGATTGGGGACAATTTTTGTTACAACTATCAATGGCAGCGCCACGCACCAGCCGGTTTTCTTCTGTGAGGCGAGAGGGTACACTCTATAAATAATTTATATTTATACTATAAAATCTCTCACAACTTATACGCTATAAGAAATATAGAAATATATGTATCACATCACATAACAGAACAATAGCAACAATGAGTGATTATAACTAACAATAAGGGATATGTATTTCGTTTATTAGGGGGGGTGTACCCGAACCGGAGGCGAGTGATGCGGCGAATGGCAGTTTTGGCATTGATCACAGCCGTAAGGCCCCCTTCACCAATTTCATCCACCAACGAACTACACCCCGTTCAATCCAAATAGCTGCCGAATTAGCAAAATTTCTAACTGTAGTTTGTTTGAATAATATAGTTTGTTTTAAATCTTAAAAATATTTTATTAGTGTCATAGAAAGGAACGAAACGGAAAATTAACAACTTTATATCAACTGAGAAATTAACATGGATTGAATGCGAACGGGGTGTTTGTTTATAGAGTGTCTAAAATAGTGGCGTCTGCTTCCACTTTGCTCAATTTGCATTACTCTCACCGCACATCCAAACCACTTTCAATCTACCAATCTAATTCTCACTTCAGTTATCAATATATATTTTTTATTATATTTTTTTTGTAATCATTTTTTTATCCATATAATTATTATTATTTTTCCTCACGTTTTTTAATCCTTAAACAATAATTTGAGAATTGCTGTTTTTTCAGACTTTAATAATGTGACACTTCACATGGCGAAACTTAAAAAAAATATATTTAAAAAAATAACGAAACACTTATCGATAGTATAAAAAACTCTACGTGTGTAGCGTCATGTCTTTTTTCATACTTTTACGCTTAAAAACCGACAAAAAATATTTAAAATACAATATGTAAAAATATAAAATAAACCAATATAACTCTAATACTATGAAAAAAAAATATAAGTGAAATAAACGAAATTGTTGAACTGGCATTAAAAGATGACTACCACTCCAGCATTTATCGAACCCTTAACCACACACCGCTTAAAACCTAACTAAATATAAAAAATAACTAAAAAAAAACAAAACGAAACGAAAGAAATAATTCCAAAAATTACCACTCAAAAATATAAAAATTTCAGCATTCGTTGTATAAGTATCTGGAGAGTGTAGTTAAGAGCGGAATTAAGGCTGAAGTTGAACACAGGGCGAATGCCCAGGGAATGCGGAGATGATTCGAGCGAGATCGATCAGTTGCCGATGATGGGTTTAAGGGTTGGGTGAATAAATGCGAATCGCTTGTATAGCAGGAAGGGAACAAACCGGACATTGGGATTCGCTACCTTCGCACACTCTATTTGCGCAATCCATGCAGAAGAAGTTGTGACCGCAGGGTACCAATGCGTGCGTTACTTTGGCATCGGTGCAAACCAAGCATTTCGAAGCCGAGCTGAGTAACGAATCCGCCGGACTCGTACTGTTGGCCGGCGACGGTCTCGACGGAGCCGCCACCGTCGGATACGACCAGATGCTCGACAACGCCGTGGAAGTATCGAAACTGGGCGAATCGCCTAGCCCTTCGTCGCGTTCGTTGGAGCTCCAAATCGCGCCCAAGTCTCTTCCGCCGCTGCTCGACGAGCTGCTCGAACACGAGCCCGAGCTGGAGAAGGCTCCGCTGCTGCCGGTCGACGACGTCATCGCTGGAAATGTATCCGTCGAGGGCTCCATGTAGTTGAGAATAGAGCTCAGACCGGACTTGTACAACGAAGCGATCAGATCGTTCTCGTCCAAATTATTCAAGCCGGGTAAGCCGTTGATGGCGGTGCCGTTACCTGTACGCATGGCGATGTGGGCTTCGATTTCTCGGCGCGCCGATTCCACGCTCTCGGGCAATCCGGTCACTTCGAAAACGGGCTCCTTGTCGCGGCTGGGCGTTACGATATACGTGTGAGTCTGGTGTTGGATTCTCTTGATCGTAGCACCTTTGGGTCCTACTACCAAGCCCACCACGCGATACGGTACTCTGACTTGGATGGTAACGTGTCCGGGAATATTGGCCGGTGGACCGGGAGGGGTCGAAGCGCCAGATCCCAAGCCGGCCAAGTTGTTTTTACGGGAAGCTCTGATCTGCGAGAAGTGTTCGGCGGCGGATAGGATTTCTCTTTTGGCTTTGGCGACGTCCTCCTTGCGTCCAGTCACCACGAATACTGGTTCCTCGCCTCTGACCGGGGTCTTTATGTAAGTGTTCGTCTTGGCGCGGAGAGCTTTGATTTTGCAACCTGCAAGATAAAAAAAAAACGTAAATTTTAAACATGGTATTATTACACTGAACATTCTAAGTTAATTAGTTAACCATACGATCGTTCTAAAAGAGCCAATTTATATGCAAACTAGCGGTGTCGGGTGTTGTACAAAAACCGATATAATCTCCTGCTCGGCGTCGATATCAAAACATTTCGCAAATTGAAGAGCGCCACTTCTTAGAAGAGCGGAAGTGCGATTTGCGGCTCCCTCTCCTCCGATGGCGTCGCCCTTCAACCTGCCGCCAGGTCAGACGCATTCACCTTGTGCGCGGGCGCCTTTCGCATTCTCTACAACCAGACTGGATGTAGAATCCGCCAAGGCGATAGAGTTAATAGTCGGCGTTTTACCAACACATCGTGCAGGATTCGTTTTTGGAGCGCAAACCACTTTTGATTTCGCTCGACCGAAGTCGAATTAAAAATAAGGAACACCCATGGTAAGGGTACACGACAAACGGACGTGTTTCGCAAGCTGAAAAAGAGCTAATGATCTTTTGGTCAAGCGCGCTGTATCGTCCAATTAGTTTGTCATTATGGTCGCGCAAAAAATCCGTCGACCGACGTATAAGGTTATGGAATTATGATCGTTACAATGTTGAAAGCGAAACTCGTTGAATGTCGCCAATAAAAAAAACCGGCGGTATAAAATTAACACTTTGTTGACAACATTATTCTCATTAACAAACTCGAATATTGGTTTGTCTTATTTTGATCGAAATTAGCCATATTTTTTATCGGCTTGATGATACAAATAAAGGTCATTACCTCGTCATTACCTATTAAATAAAACAATCTAAACTAACTCGTGACGGTTGTTTTATTGAAAGACCTGATGTGTATTGTGTTGTCACTAATTAGAACTATTAATAATGAATCCCTCAGGTAGTTTCTACCCCTTCCAATATTCGGTTATACGTGTAGGTAAGTACAAAGAAACTGATCGTTAAACTCATAAATAGCCCCTTTTGAATAATTAATATGAAACCGAACTGAAAACGAGAGGATTCTTTTTATATAAAACAACTCGCAGAAATCGTGTTGCAGGATCGGCTTCAATGCGATTTTCCACTTTTATTACTGAGCACCAATTTAAACCAGTACACAAGGTTTAATTGTACAAAAAAGTTGGTGTTCAATTTAATTGCACCTACTGCACGACCAGCGTGTTAATCAATAAACTCGATAGCCGGAATGTTTTGTTGGTATTATCTGATGATCCGGCTCTGGTTTTTGGTTCGAGTCGCCGTGTGCCCTTATAAAATAAGAGTACATTGGCCACGGGCGCCCGTACACAAAGGCAACCTTGGTCAATCGACGCAAGAATAGAACAACTCTGCGCGGTTCTCTTTTCTCCAGGTAAGGTCGGGATTTATTATTAAACAGTTCTTCATTCCTCGTTAAGAAACGAGGACTGGTTCCAAGTTCCAACGGCGGAGGAATTCGGTCGTGCGACTTTCATCGCGCGCCCCGTATCATATCGCAATGTAAAAGACCGATGGCATTTTGTGTAGGAAGGACAACGGGGATATCACACGTTTATTATACTTTATCTGCTACGAGGCAACAATCATTCGGGGAACTTGAAGACACTGCATTAAATACCAACGGCGCAATTACCGCTGATATATAGCTGTCTGAAATGTAATGACTACGGATCCCCGGTCTTTCAGCATTTATTTATTTCCTACGCCAGAGACAAAAAGACGACCAAACGCTCGTTTCAATTAGTTTAACGCCAACGAAAAAACGGAATTTAATTCCAATTTACTGCTTTTTCCTATCGATCTTATTAATACCAACCGTAATATAAAAAAAGATTGATGTGCCTACTTATTGCATAATTAGTAATGAAGAAGGACAAGCAACTTATAAAGAAATTTGTCCTTTCAAATCAACACATTTTCAATAAGGAGTTCCAAATTTATAGTTATACTTCCTCTCTTCTTATACATCTATATGATTACAGAGATTATACAATTTCTAGTAAGGTGAATGAAACAAAAAAAATAACAACAATTTACAAACTGAACCGAGTGCTTTACGCAAGAGATAACCTAAATAAGCGATACAAAGAGGAGCTTTGTTGAAACGCTAATCTTGTTTACATTCTTAGAAAAGAAAAAAGGGCACATACAAGAAAAATTTATTTACATTCACCTCCTGGTTATGAGTAATGAAAGCTCTTTCGAAAGCAGTTTAAGAGTGATAAGCGTTTAATAAACCACATTAAAGTGGTAATGTCTGGTTAACGTCGTCGGGATGAGTTGTAAAAGATGTCGCAAACGGTAAAGAGCTTAAAATGGAGCAGGGTCGCGCGGCTCGCTTTTTCAAATAAGGCTATTTTTTATAGGTATACGTATACGAGATCGGCTGTGAAATTATAATAAAATCGATTCAGCCTTGCGGCAGCCAGGAAAATGTCACAAATCTGGCCTGCATCCAGTGGAGCCGACTGGATTGCATTCGAAAATGTTTGTTCTTTTTGTTCGCCTTAGTTATAAGCGGTCTAGCTAGAGTGTCTAGAAATATCTTAGGGTAAATGCCACTTGACAATAATAGACTAGTAGTTATAGAACTCGTCAAGTGAGATGCGCCCGTCGTCGAAACGACGATGAAAAAGTTCCTGAAATACACACTCACACACACTCACAAACCGCATACCTTGTTTACAAGGTGTCCCCAAGTGTTTAGAATTTATGGAATGGTATTCGTTCATATTTATAGTTTTTATTAACAGATTTATCTATTGTTACACCGGTCGATTATTTATCGAAATATTCGACACAATTATAATTTACAGAAAAAAATGACCAGCTTACGTTGAGCCGACTTTTTCGAAAATCTATTCAATTAATTTTTGTCGTTTTACTTTCGAAGTCGCTTAATTTACTACGAACGTATGTATGTAGCAGATGTCAACGTACCAACTCGTTTTATGATTTTTTTTTTCTGTTTATTTTGTCTCATACCGAGAGAGTTCATCCTACGGGTGCCCTTAAAATGTTTCTATTTTTAAAAACTAGAAATCCTGCCAAGCGAGCGTCAGCCGATTCTCCTCTAACAACGGCGTCTTTATGAATAAGTACGACAATAGATCGATGTCGAAATTAAAGAGGTGCAAACCGTCGTGCGGCGGCTGCATTAATTCGGTGCAATTAAAACCTCCCCACCAGCGGCGTAACTACTGTAAATTTCCTCGAGGAAGCAATTAAATGTTGTACAAAATCCACTAATAGGCGTATTCTTCAAATGACGCAAATAGCTAGGTGTACTTAACAAATGAGCGTATTAATACACATTTAACGGGAATACTAAAATGGCATTTTAATCATACAATAGCCGGGTATTTGTCGAAACAAAGAAACGTCCGGCACGCCCACAGGACTTGGACCCGTTACGCCGTTTTTCGGTAACTTCCTCCCGAAAAGTTAACAGTTCGTTTTTTTCTCGAACGTTACGTTTTCATTCAGCGAGGTGGGCATTTCGATTTCGTCAATTAAAGTGGAATGTAAATGCCCGGTCGTATAGTGGGATCTTTTAGATAACAGAAATAGACACTTAAACTGTGGAACCTGTGATAGATTAAAAATAGACCAAGGAAGATCACGCAACGATGTCAAAAGAGTTTGTGAGGTAGATAACCTCCGGTTTGTGCGTAAATATAGTTGTTTTGACATGTTATTGATGGAGGTTACTCAAGAATTATTATACAAAAAAATGTCGTTTTGTTAGAGACACCCAATGACAAAAAAAAATGGACACGTGTATCAAAATTTTCATATCAATTAAGATGTTTCTAAAAGTAGAAAAAACTGTATTTAAACCCTACAATTCCCGACCTTTAAAGGCGCGTTTTCGAGGCCCACGCGTCTCGCGCGGATTAAAAACAATCGGCATTCGAGGCCGTCGAAAGAAACCGAGGAAAAAAGTCCGTTGGAAAAAGCACGACGAGAAACCGTCTGGGCTCCTCCTGCTTCTCTTGTGTGACACAACACGACCGAAAATATTCGATATTGTACACGATGTAACGTGTAATCGATGTCAAGAGTAACGCAGTTACGTAACGCGTGCGAAAAGTTTTGAAACGATAACCCGCCGAACGAAAATTTATAGTCCGGGAATCGAATCCGAGCGCTTAAAGGCTTTTAGATAGGTAGACTCGTCCTTTGAGCACCTAGTCACAATACAAAAACGTTAATATTTTAATTAAACGGCAAGTACAAACGATTATAATCCGTATAAAAATTAACGGCTACCGTAATTGACGTAATAATTAGGTGCGTACACAATTACGTAATGTAAAACAATCATCAATAAGATGATAATCGAACGACGTTATTGGTAAAGTGAGCACAGTAACCTAAATTCGGCGTCGATTTGCATACTGAATAGTCCGGTGGATTTTGCGTAAATTCGTATGAACAAATACGTTAAAGTTCGACAATTTTTTTAAGTACAACGCACATGTTTCGTCCTGTGTTCCAACGAACAGGATGTACGCGTGGTGCCACACGTGTGCTTTTCGTTAAAATTAATACAAAATATTAATAACCATATACACAAAACCAAATTCTATTTAGCCCGAACGACAGATGGTGGTTTTTGAATGAATATATGCATTCACGCCCATGCCAATGTGATACATATAATTGCATAATTTGTTTGCAAATATCAGTAGTTTTTTGTATAAATACTACTGCTAGCTCTTGGATAGTAAATACTAACAGGAAAGTTATAATTTTAATAAATAATAAACATTTTGTGTAAAATACTTTTTGTGCCATCTCGATTCAATCGGCTCCTTTTTTTTTCTGTTATTATTATTAAAACAATTCGAAACCAAGGATAACAATAAATCATTTAAACGACTCAACTTCCGACGAACAGCCTTTCATACACTCTTTCTAGATATACAGGCGGTCAACAATCGTTTTATCTACATTACCGAGAAATTGATATCGAAAATAACGCTGAAT